GAGCACAGGCTCCGGACGCGCAGGCTCAGCGGCCATGGCTCACGGGCCCAGCCGCTCCGCGGCATGTGGGAGCTTCCTGGACCGGGTCACGAACCCGCGTCCCCTGCATCGGCAGGCGGACTCTCAACCACTGCGCCACCAGGGAAGCCCTTATTTTTAAACATTTTTAATGAAAAATTTCAAACATATACAAAATAAGAGAGAATAGTAATGAAACACATTTATACATTTCACTCAGATTCCAGTTATTAATTCACGTCCAATCTTGTTTTATTTAAATAAACTCTCCTCCCATACAACTACATTTTTTAAGCTTTGTTGAGATAAAATTGACATACAGCACAGGGTAAGTTTAAGGTGTACAACATGATGATTTGATAAACTTATATATTGCAAAATGAGTACCACAGTAAGGTTAGTTGACATACACATCACCTCATATAATTACATTTTGTGTGTGTGTGTGGTGAGAACATTTAAGATTTACTTTCTTACCAACTTTCAAGTATATAATATAGTATTGTTAATTATAGTCACAATGCTGCACATTAGATCCCCAGAATTTATTCATCCTAAACTGAGTTTGTACATTTTGACCAACATTTCCTCATTTCCCCCACTATCTCAACCTTTGGCAACCACCAGTCTATTCTCTGTTTCCACATATAAGTGATATTATACAGTACTTATATTTCTGTGTCTCACTTACTTCACTTAGTATGACACCTTCGAGGTCCACCCACCTTGTCACAAATGGCAGAATGTCCTTCTTTATCATAGTTGAATAATACATATGTATATATATATATACACACACACACACACACACACACACTTTCTTCATCCATCCACTGATGGACACTTAGGTTGTTTCCATATCTTGGTTATTGTGAATAATGCTGTAACGAACATGGGGGTGCAGATATTTCTTTGAGATAGTGATATCATTTCCTTTGGACATACACCCAGATATGGGATTGTTGGATCATATTCATATGGTAGTTCTATTTTTAATTTTTGTATAACTTCCAAGCTGTTTGCCATGGTGCCTATGCCAATTTACATTCCCACCAACAGAAGGATTCCCTTTTTTCCAGATCCTTGTTCTCTCTTGTCTTTTTGATAATAGCCATCCTAACAGGTGTGAGGTGATATCTCATTGTGGTTTTTATTTGCATTTACCTGATGATTAGTAATGTTGAGTGTCTTTTCTTGTACATGTTGCCCATTTGTCTGTCTTCTTTGGAAAAATATTTATTCAGGTTCTGCCCTTCTCAGTCTAGATTTTGTAGTAGCCTAGTTGACTTCCTTCCTTCCCTTCCCAACTTTTGTGTGATCTTCTAGAAAAAATTTTGCGGTACGCGGGCCTCTCACTGTTGTGGCCTCTCCCGTTGCGGAGCACAGGCTCCGGACGCGCAGGCTCAGCGGCCATGGCTCACGGGCCCAGCCGCTCCGCGGCATGTGGGATCTTCCCGGACCGGGGCACGAACCCGTGTCCCCTGCATCGGCAGTCGGACTCTCAACCACTGTGCCACCAGGGAAGCCCTTCTGCCCATTTTTAAATTGGAATATTTGTTTGTTTATTGCTATTGAGTTGTATGCATTCCTTATATATTTTGAATATTAAACCCTTATCAGATATATGGCTTGCAAGTATTTTCTCCCATTCAGTAGATTGCCTTTTAATTTTGTCGGTTATTTCTTTTGCTACACAGAAGTTTTGGTTTGATGTAGTCCCACTTTTGTTTGTTTGCTTTCGTGGATTGTACTTTTGGTCTTGTCCAAAATATGGTTGCCAAGACAAGGAGATTTTTCCCTATGTTTTCTTCTAGGAGTTTTACAATTTTAGGTTTTACATTTAAGTTATTAACACATTTTGAGTTAATTTTTGTAAGTGGTGTAAGATAGAGGTCCAATTTCTTTTGCATGTAAATATCAGATTTTCCCAACACCGTTTATTGAGGAAAATATCTTTTCCCTATTGAGTATTCTTGACTTCCTTGTCAAATATTAATTGAGCGTATGGGTGTGTTTATTTCTGGGCTCTCAGTTTTGTTCCATTGGTCTCTGTATCTGTATTTTTATGCCAGTACCATACTGTTTTATGATAGCTGCTTTGTATTATAGTTTGAAATCAGGAAGTGTGATGCCTCCAGCCTTGTTCTTTCTCAGAATTGCTTTGAATATTTGGGTTCTTTTGCTGTTCTGTACCAATTTTATGATTAGTTTTTCTATTTCTGTGAAAAATGCCATTGGAATTTTGACAGGGATTGCATTGGATCTATAGATGGCTTTGAGTAGGATGGACATGCTAACAATGTTAATTCTTCCAATCCAAGAGCACAGCATATTTTTCTATTTATTTGTGTCTTCATCATTTCTTTCACCAATGTCTAATAATTTTCAGTGTACAGATGTTTCACCTCATTGGTTAAATTTATCCCCAAGTATTTTCATTGTTTTTAATGCTATTGTAAATGGGATTCTTTCTTTCTTTTTCAAATTGTTCATTATTAGTGTATGGAAACTAGCTTATTTCTGTAAGTTGATTTTTCATCCTACAACTTTAATGAATTCACTTATTAGTTCTATTTTTTGATGGAGTCTTTAGGATTTTCTGTATCCAAGATATCATCTTCAACAGAAACAGTCTTACTTTTTCCTTCCCAAATTGGATGCCTTTTCTTTCTTTTTATTGTCTAGTTGCTCTGTCTAGGACTTCCAGTACTGTGCTGAATAGAAACAGGGAGAGTGGGCATGTCTTGTCTTGTTCTTGACCTTAGAGGAAAAGCTTTCAGCTTTTCATCATTAAGTGTACATGTTAGCTGTGGTCTTGTCATATATGGCTTCTATTATGTTGAGATATATTTTATCTATATTTAATTTGTTGAGAGTTTTCATCATGAAAGGATGTTGAATTTTGTCAAAATCTTTTTCTCCATCTATTGAAATGACCATATAATTTTTATCCTTCATTTTGTTAGCAGAGTGTATCACATTGATTGATTTGCATATATTGAACCATTCTTGTATCCCAGGAATAAATCCTTCTTGATCATGACATATGATTCTTTTAATGTATTGTTGAATTCAGTTTGCTAATATTTTGTTGAAGACTTTTGCATGTATGTTCATCAGGGATATTGTCTCTTCTTGTAGTGTTCTTATCTTGCCTTGGTATCAGGGTAATGATGGCCTTATTGAGTTTGCAGTGGATGGAGTTTCCATTTTTTGGAGGAGTTTGAGAAAGATTTGTATTAATTCTTCTTTAAATTCTCATCTTATTGTTTTCTAGCTGTTTTGTAGTTCATTTGTTCTTTTCTTCCTTCTTTGCTGTCTTCGTTTGTGAATCAGTGATTTTCTGTAGTGTTATGCTTTGATTCTCTTCTCTTTACCTTTTGTGTATCTACTGTAGGTTTTGCTTTGTGATTACCATGAGGCTTACATAAAATATTTTATAGATTTAACAGTCTATTTTAGGCCAGTAACAATTTGATAACATACAACACTCTTCCCTTTTACTCCCCCCCACCATGTTTTATGCTTTTGGTGTCATAATTTACCTCTTTTTATGTGTGTACCATTAACAGATTATTGAAGCTATAGTTACTTTTAATACTTTTGTCCTTTAACCTTTATGCTAGAGTTAAGTGATTTATATACCATTATATAATGGTATTAGAGTATTCTTAAACTGACTATATACTTACCTTTACCAGTGTGTTTTATACCAGTGTGTATGCCTTTAAACTCTATGAACTAAGCCTAAAATCTATAACATTCAGCTTTTGAATCCTTTCCAAGGGGTTGCTTTACAGTGTTTGAAACCCAGAAAACTTCGGTTTGCATGATGAGAATCTCAAGGACACACAGCCCTGAGTTTGATCCCCAGCCACAAAACAGTCTTTCTGTTTTGTCCTTGAGCTCATCACTTTACAACAGTGGACCAGCCTCTATGAGCCCCAAAGAGCGCCACGACATTCTAAACTTGTAAACAGAGGAGGGTGGGGAAGAGGAGTGGTCATGGGATTGGGGTGTGAGTTGATGAGAGCTTTCCAGGATTTTTGTATGGCTAAGAGACAGACACACATGTTCCCAAAACAACTGACGTGTGGGTGGGGGAAGGGGTGTCTGGATCCCTGTGGTTTTGGTTGATCTCTCCTTTCTTGCTCTTTCTGACATGTCAGTAACTTTCTTTGAATAGGAAGAATTAAGTGCTGTTGTTTTAAATTTTGTTTACGCTAAAATGTAAATTGCATGTAATAGCTTATGGGATATTAAGACAAAAATCAACACCTCAAGAATCATCCTCTCATTTATAAATGAAGAAACTGAAGCTCAGAGAAGTTGTTACATTTTACCCAGGATCTCACATCTGGCAGGTGGCAGAACTCAGAGAAAAGCCCAGGTCTTCTTTCCTCCCTCCTTCACCTGAGCAATTTGATGCACATTTTACCAGGGAGAACTGGAGTCATTCCTTATGATTTAGTGATGCAAACACAAATCAACATTCAGAAGCCTGTTCTGACTTTCTTTACATGAGTTTTAAATAGAGCATAATGGCCACTGAAAATAAATCTCTGGATTGGAAACTTGACAGTGTCCTTCAGCTCTGTTCTCTCTCTTGGAATACAAGGACATATTTCCATTTTATTGCAAATTGAACATAAGCAGTTTTACTACATAGCCAGAAGTTTGGCAAGACCACTTGAAATTTCAAGCCTCCAGATTTATCTTGAATGAACTTGAGGCTGGGTGTGTGTGTGTGTGTGTGTGTGTGTGTGTGTGTGTGTGTGTGCTGTGTGTGGGGGGGTGTGTGTGTGTGTGTGTGTGTGTGTGTGTGTGTGTGTGTGTGTGTGTGTGTGTGTGTGTGTGTGTGTGTGTGTGTGTGTGTGTATGTAGCCGTTTTCAATGGAGTTTTCCAACTGTCTTTGGATGGGCCATGGACAGTTGTCTAGTGGTCTCAAACTGTATGTGCTCTGAAGTATTTTCATTTTTAGGACCAGATCTTTATGGAAAATGTGGGTGCAGTGAAGCAGCTTTGCAAACTAACCAACAACCTTGAAGAAAGAATAGAAGAGTTAGAAATATGGAACAGAAGGCTGGCCAGGCTAAAGCGGCTCAGTAGTTGGAAGTCCTCCGCCAGTGAAATGAGCTCAATCAGGTACTTCCAGGATTGCCATAGAAATTGGGAGAAAGGAGAGAATGTGGTCTTTCCATAACTAGATCACTCTGAATGGTTTGTCCTACCAAGCAGCAACCATTACTTTCTTTTAATTAAGTCCCTATTCTTCTTTCAGAATGTTTTGGAACACAGTTGTTTTATGTGATAATTTTCTTATTTTTTTTGTTGCTGCTTTTAAAATAAAACAAAATATAATGCATCTGTTTAAGAGCAGTGATTATAGGAAGTGCTACATTTTAACGAAAGGGTGGCCTTTCCTTTAAGGAGGAAAGGTGGCCATTTCTAAATTTAGAAAACCATGTTTGGTCCTCAGGGAAAAAACTTTTATTCTGTTTTTTTAATTACTTGAGGCACGTGCACATTTTCTGGGATATATTTTGAGAAAAAGGGAAATGTAACTTTTAATGCATTTATTTATACTTACTAAGTTTCTTGTACACAAAAAGAACTCTCAATTGCCTTGACTCTTCCTTTTTTAAATTACCACTGAATAATAATAATAAAAAAAAGCATACTGCTGTGTTAGTGACAGCCTGGGCCTTTGTCATATAACTCTTGGAGAGGCATCTGAATCAAAACTAATTTTCTCTTTCTCTTTTTAAAGCAAATTTAGCAGAGCTCTTAGTGCATCTTCTCCAAAAAGGACCATTCCCAAAAAAACCAGCAAGGTAAATAGACTTAAATTTATAATGAACAGAGGTGATATTTTCTATTCAAATAGTCTTTAGAAAAATTGATCAGGAATTTTTTTCTTCATTTATTCGTTGATGGGTTCCCTAGGCATCCTTATGCACTTAAGGCATTTAAATATTATCCTTTTAATAGATATTAACTGGTTTTTCAAAGAGAAGTTTAGAGATATGAGTAGAGAACCTGTTCATTTCAGAAATATTGTTCTGCCCCTTTTTGTTTATATAGTCCCCATCAGGTGAAATTCATCGGCAGATGACTCTGGGCTGCAAGATCTGTGTGGATGCCTTCACTCAACTCAGGCCCTTATCTTTGTCTCCAGAAGATCTCAAAGGGGTGTCAGTTAATCCACAAATCCCTCTTTTCCCTTTGATATTTAGTACTATATATGCAAATGGAGACTAGGTATTCACTTGCTTGCAAAGGATAAAATGTGACAGCTTTATTAATGAATAGAGCATTTCATCAAATAGGATAACATTTACATCAAAGGTGAAGGTTAATCATTTATTAACTTAAAGGACACCCTCTCCATTGCAGAGAAGTTGTCAGTGAGGGAGAAGCTGCAATACTGTCTTCCTAGCTGCCATTCATAATAGCTGTGAACCTCAGCTCACTCCCTCAGATCCACTAGTTGTCCAAAGGTGGCCTTTCCCGGAGGAAGATATTTATGACCTTAACCTATATCCTGTTACGGGCTGACCTGATGTTTGGGCCATTGTCCCAATTTACTCTCTACTCCTCATGTTGTACGTCACTGAACTATTCTAAGAGGGTTTAGAAAGTTTAATATTCTACTAAAAACTACTAAAATGTTATGCTGTGGACAAGCTTCTTGCTACACCAACAGGCATAAATACATGGATAAATGTATATGTAGAAGTGTTTTGGGGCAAGTTTACTTAATTGCATTGGGAAACAGATAATAATAATGTCTACCTTACAAAGAGTATTGATAGGATTAAATGAGCGAAAGCCCTTGCACAATGCCCCAGCACATAGCAGGTTGCTCAATAAACACAAAATACTAAAAATACTGTGTAGGGAAGGTGCT